AAAAATACAATATTTCCTATTCTTGTTGTAAGCATTAAAAAGACATGACCTATGTAAAGTGCCTGGCATGTAATAAGCATTCAATCAAGTTTAGCCACAGTAATTATCAATATATACAGCAAGTAACTTAAACATGCATCTGTAAACTGGAAATAGTAATATATAGCTCACAGGGTTGCAGTCACATTTAAATGAGATTAAATCTGTAATGTATTTAGTAGAACATCAGCCTACATTTCTTACCCTCTCTTTACCCTCCCTACTTCACCCTTTCCACACCCCACATGTAACTTCTTCCAAAAAAATTTTCTTTTTGTACATAAAAAAATCAGTTCCAATTATCCCTCCTCCTTCTCTCATAATTGCTGTCTTAGTCTCCTGAAATCCCCTTGCCTTCAACCAGTACAGTCCCTCTCAGCTGGATAGGATCCAGTTGCTTCACTTCAGATTTGGGGACCCATTACCCAGAAGAGGGCCCCTAACTCAGAGGCTGAGGGACAGCACCCAGTCAGCCCAGAGCTGCTCCTGAATTGACTGTGGTCTCTCCCGCATACATGCCCGATATGTGCATGGATCTAACTGACTCCAAACCACGTTGCTCTCTAAAGACACCTGCCCTAATCTTATTTGGAATAACATGCTGAGAAAAACAGGCTTGGTTTTCTCATTTTTTTGGCTCTTGTTACTGTGAATTCTTGCCTACTCGCTCTCCCATTTCCCACCTCCCGCACCTGCTTTCACAGCCTGACCTCCACCTTGATTTCCACTTCCCAGTCACATTCCCCTGTTGGTCTACCAAATTGTCCTGTAGTTTTGAATGGAATCACAAATACATTTTTTTTTTAAAAAAAAAACCGTATCACAATGCCTTCTCTATCTGCTCCTTCCTTCCTCAGGCAATGGCCAGAAATTTTAGCCTTGGCCTTCCGTCGCCAAGGTCTTCTCTCAGGGCTTTTCTTTCCACTCCTGATAGGATCGTCAAAATGTGCCCCACTTCTCTGCTGATCTGAAGCCTATAAGCTTCCTACCCCTGGATTTGAATTACTGCCAATATGTGTCTCAAAATCATTCTGACTGATGTATTAATCAAGACACTTTCTATTAATACTTAAATTCTTTCTGAGCAGCTGCTTCTGTTGTTCATAAAACAGATCCTCTCCTTAAAACTTTCCTTTGCGGGCTCAATATAGAGTTTCCTTTTCTTGTCTCTTCCTTCTGCCGTGCACTCCCTTAGTTATTATGAAAACAAAACAGAAAACCTTCCTCCTTTCTCTCACCTCTTCTTACTTCTTTTTCTCCTCCATCCTTCTTGCCTCTAGCTCTAGTTCATCAGCTTTTTCCTATTTTAAAAATTCCAATTCGTAGCTCACTGCTGCCATTGGTCTTGTTCTTGCTTGTGCCAGTGAAGGGAAAACTGGTCTCAGCAAACCCAACATCTGCCTCTCTGCTCTTGCACTGTATCTTTCTTCATCAGTTCATCACACCTTGCCCCAAATTCTGATCTCCCTGGCCATCCTTGCCTCCAGCTCTTGATGTGTCCTCAGACATTCCAGAATGCACTATTCAACACGCAGAAACTTATTCAATAATGGGCTCTCCATCCTGGTCTGCAAAGCACCTGACTCATTTAACTCCCAAAATAAACCCAAGAGTAGGAAAAGAGGTATTCCTTGGCCTCATTTTTGTTTTTAATGGGGAAACAAGAAATTCAAGATATCAAGTAACTTGCTTAAAAATGTCATGTAGCTTAGAAAGTGGCAAAATGGACCTATTGGAACTCAGGACATTTATTTGATCTCTAATTATTTATCTGATTTTTATCTACCTTACAGATAAAAGTAAATAGGCTCTTGGAATATGTTTATTATAAGACTTCTTTTTTATATA